TTATTTTTTTTAGTAAAAATAAAAAATTTGAGTCGTATAATATATAAGTGTAATAAATTAAAAATTAAATTTATTAAAATTAAAATAAAAAAATATAATTATTTTATATAATTTGAGATATTATTTAATAACTAATTATTTTTATTATAATTTATAATATTATATATATATATATATATATATATATAAAACTCCATATTTAGTAAAAACCTCTAGCAAACCTGCAGGATCTCTTCCCAAGACGACTGCTCTGTGACCCCCAGAATCTGTCTGGCCTCTGTATCAGTCATAACTTTGCCTGCTCTCCTGATATTCTGTACAGTTTCTTGAGCAACACCAGATTTTGCAGCATCTGCAATCAACCACAAAGCATTAATTATGGACTAAAAAAACATTGAGGCAGATGACAAAAAAAATCACATTCCTAAATGCATTCAACTGCTAAGTGTGGAACAACACAACATACTTGCAAGTGCCTGGCGATATGCTTGAACCACAGCTCGGGCCAGTATTCCAGAGCCCATAACAATCAAGTTGGCAAGAATCTTTGCAGCCTGCAGCATATGACTGTGAATTAACCACATGATACTTGGTTGTTGGCAAGAATCATTAATATAATCAAGCACCAAATCATTTGGTTTATAGTTTTTCAGCAAGCTACACTAATTACAGGCTAAAAATTTACATCAAATAGAAGGTAGCAAGTTAGTCTTCATTCTGGTATCAAATGACGATAAAGTGCTTATGCATAAGTACACCATGTAGACAGGGATGCATCATGAGTTTATTATAATCATCTATTGAAGCCATAATAATTGAATTGAGGGTTCAAGTACTGTCTTTTTGAGCTTGACAGGAACTAGCATCTTTGCCACAACCACATAGCAAGCAAAACCTGCTAACACTGATTTTTGAGAAAACATAATTCTTAGGTGCCAACTGGAACTTAAAAAGGAATAACCAGTTAAGCACAACATTATAAAAAGGGCTCCAGGAAGGCAGCACATAGGGCCTTGCTTTGATGGCTCAATAACAATTCTATACGTTTTCAATTATATATACTACAAGGGACGTGCAAATCAACTGGCAACCCCTCCCCCAGTGCAAGGTTGCTGGCCTGCTAGCAAGCACTTTACAAGGACACATTCAATGCTACTGCTACATAGCGAACCAGAACCAAGCGTCTATATTCCTACACCCTTGACATGACATAAATAGTGGAAAGAACATCATTCAAGTATTACCCACATTCTTCTACTAATCTAATGAGTCCTATATTCCAGCCATCTCATTTTGCACCATTTTAGGAGTCAAAAACAAGGCTCTAAATTCAATACAGCTTCACAAACCCACAACAGCTACAACTCTAAGAGTTACCTACCAGTTACAAAAGTGATAACTACATTGCTAATCCCAGGGCATAATACAACGAATGCCATGAAAACTAAATAAAAAGGCAAAATCCGCACAAAGGCTCAAACTTGACTATTATGAAGATCAAAACCATCAGAGAAGAAGCTAGAAGCATACTTACCATTGCCGAATATTATACAAATAAACACCCGCCAAACGACAAGTTCCCAGGAAACTAGAACAAAAAACCCATATGTTAGTGCAGGTGTTATAGATTTTTGTTCAATAATTAAGCTGAAACAACCTCAATTTATAAATTTCCTCTTTGCAAATCATTTATTTTTCAGGTATCGATTTTTAGACGAAAACCCCATGGGAAAACACCTCGACGAATACAGATACTCCAAGAAAATGAATAGAATTCAGCAAAATCGATATAGAATTAACTCAGGAAAACGAGGAAACGGACCATACCTAAGCAAGATGAGATGATTGTCGATGCAGTTAGGGTTTCGACGAAGGGACGATGAAGGTAGTTAAGCTTCTAGAACCTAGAACAAGAGGCTTGGCTGTTTTGACCGCATCGGAACTGAAACCGACCTTATGGGACGTTGGCTGGGCCTCTCTCTTTTCATCAGCGGATCACAAGCCCAATTTTTAAAATTAGATTTTTATTTTCTATTTTTGGACTATATATTTAAAAACATTTAGACTAAAGTCTTAAATTTTGCCACAACGTTATATGGGTGGAGTGGTAACATTTTATTTCATAAGTAGAAATATTGTTGGGGATATGGTAGTAATAGGTAATTGTTTTTGTTTAAAAAATATATTTTATCATCTAAATTATAAGATAAGAGTTATTAAATGAGAAAATGACTAATAATAGCAGGGATTTATATACTATTTAGTAATAAGTGTTGTGTGACTTGACTACGCAACATTTCAGACTGTTTTTTACTTTTCACAGATGGTAGTGTATTTTTAGTATTTTGAGTTTGATAGAATTGTAGAAACTATTTTTTCATGTTGTTCCATTAGCAACTAAGTAGCCAAAATAATTATTAATTAATTTTATATTTTAAATGATCGTCCACGCACTGAATTTGAAGGGATACACCTCGACATGCCCATCGCTTGCTTACCATGTGATTTGTATTGGATGATTATTATATTTAAAAATTATATTAAATTTCAACTAATTTAATTTAAAATTAAACCGTTTTAGATTTTATAAAAAAAAAAAAAAAAAAACTTTTTAAGCATCAATATCTTTATTTACAAAACTTCTGAAAACTCTAGTTAAACATAATCGAATTTTTTTTTACCCAAATTAATAGGTAGTAATAATTATTATACTATTGAATATAGTGAAACGTGGGTGATTTATCAGTAAAGCATTTCATTTATCAAGTTATTAGGATTTTCAGTTCATCTGGTGTGTGAGAACAAAAATGATATATAATTTTTTTAACATAAAAATGATATATAAGTTGCCCTTCCTGTACCTCCAATCAATATCATCAAGGGAGTGATTTTATTTGATGATTATGTGTATACTAAACATATATATTGATGATATATATACAATTACAAGATTATGGTTTTGTGTAGCATTTTCATTTTCTTGGTGTTATATCCAAGTTCCTGTCTTCTTCTCTTCTGCTGCTTCTTCTTCTTCTTCTTCTTATCCTGTTATTAATTTCCATTTTCTTGATATCATATGCAAGTTCCTATTCCCTGCTTCTTCGTCTTCTTCCTCTTCTTCTTCTATAATATAAGTTCTTCTTCTTCTTCTTCTCTTCTTCTTAATTTATCAAGCTCTAGATCCTGTTATTAATTTCCATTTTCCTGATATTATATGCAAGTTCCTATTCTAAGGGAATATTATATGTTGGTTTCATGCTTTGAGTGAGTTTCTTTGGATTTTGATTTTTGATCCTCAAGGAAAATTAAGAATTTTGCATGATTAGTTATTATAGATATTTGAACCCTTCTTCTTCTTTATCAAGCTCCAGATCCTGTTATTAATTTCCATTTTCCTGATATTATATGCAAGGTCCTATTCCAAGGGAATATTATATGTTGGTTTCATGCTTTGAGTGAGTTTCTTTGGATTTTGATTTTTGATCTTCAAGGAAAATTAAGAATTTTGCATGATTAGTTATTATAGATATTTGAACCCTTAATTTTGATTTTGAATCAATTGATGTCTTTAATTTTAATGCAAGAAATAAGATGCATGAACTTTTATATTTTGTGAACAAATAAAATGAATTTTGATTAATTAATTATATATATTTTTATTTTAGATTGCATAATGAGAGGTTCCATCCCTTCACCAACCACATTCACATACTACATAACTTAAATTCTCTTATGTTTACTGAAAGGTGATTAATTATATATATTTTTATTTTGGATTGCATAATAAGAGGTTCCATCCCTTAACCCACCACATTCACATACTATATAACTTAAATTCAATATCTCTTATATTTATTGAAAGGTGATTATCTTCTTCTCTTATGTTTACTGAAAGGTGATTATCTTCTTCTTCTTCTTCTTCTTCTAATGAAATACATAAACTGTGTTATGATATATTAAAAAATCACAGCATCAAACATACATACTGTTTCTAGGAAAAAACTAGAAACTTACACATGACCGTTGTTGAAAACAAAGAAGTTACACACTGCCAACATAAACTGCTACACCACTAAGCAAAATAAACTAATTGCAACTGCCACCACACAAGAACTAACATAACTAGTTAACAGACTTGATCTCATATGCTAACATCCACATTGCAGGCAATTTAAACTAGTTTTCATCACCAAAATCACTGTTCACAGATGAAGCTTCCTCAGTGTCATCTGCTTGTTCATTCTCACTCTCTTCAGAAAAATCTGCTTCATTCTCTGCTTCTTCATTCTCACTTGCTTCTTCATCATTCTCTCCTTCCTCATTCTCACTTTCTTCTTCATCATTCTCTGCTTCCTCATTCTCACTCACTTCATCATCATTCTCTGCTTCTTCATTCTCACTTACTTGTTGAGCAGAACCTCCTTCATTCTTTTCAGTCTTCTTTTCTAGACGCTCAATCAGGTCCATAACCTCTCTATTCAGCTGTCACGGTTAAACCACGGAATTCAGAAGCCGCATAACCATTTGTAGGAGGAGCTCTTCATTAATGTTCAATGATGCTTACCCAATTGTCGAGATAATAGAAATTATACTTTTGAGAAATTAGAGAAGAAACAATCCAATTACTACACATCTCCATACCTGTATATTGCTTAGAAAGTCGGCAATATCTTGAGAACAAAAAGGACAATGCATGACATTTTTTATTGACCGAAGAGTCCTTCCTGCGGCGCTTCTCCTCGTTATTAGTGACTTTCCGGAAAATGTATTTTCTAAGCATGTCTTGCAGAAATTGTGACCGCAGGTTGTTGTGACTGGCATGGTCAGTACTTGCTGACAGATAAGGCAACTGAACTCTGCACAAGGAAACATGCAAATTAATCATTAGGAAAGAATTGTTTTGCACATCTTGTTTCCTCATTTTGGCCCTTAAACGTGATGTTTATTTTAGGATTCAAGCACTCAATTTCTTCAACAAAATATATTTATGCTTAACTATAATTTAGTAAATTTCAAATAATTAATGAGGTGTTTGGTATAGAGGTTTGATGTTAGTTACTTGCAATTTAGACTATTTGAATGAATTAATGAAAATATTTAGAATATAAACATCGTCAAGTTATTCACATTTTTTGCTAGATTTAAGCCATTAATCTAAACCAAGTGAATAAGATAACATAAATTAAGGATAATAGACAATTAATGTTGATTAGCAAACCCAATGGATAGTTGCACCATAAGAGAATTAATGGCAAAATTAAACCTCTTAGCAGTCTCTGTCTTATAGTCTGTCTCCCTCGTTTCCTTGCCGCTCTTCTCTTCCTCTTACCAGAGTTCTCGGATTTTACCTTATCGTCTGGAGGTGGTTTCAGCCACTTCCATATACCATCTGCCGTCTGCAAAACATAAATAAAAATAATCAAGTTCATGTTGAACTCCTAATTATTTAATGTGCTTATGAAAGGAACAAGAACATAGAACATTCATAAAAACTGTTCATCTCATATTGTTTAAAAATGCTGCACAAAGCCTCGGGCACTGTGGCTAGGCGCCTATCTGTCTCGGACTGTCGCCCAACCACCTCATTGCCTAGGCGCTTTTTGCAAACAGTGAGTTCATTTATGTTCCTGAGCACACGGTCATGAGGTTGTAGAGGAGAAAATTCTCAAATATAGAAGCAAAGAGAGAAATAGATGTCGTATATACTTACATCAAAACCCCATGAGGGAGCTTCCTTTCTCTTTGTTGTGTCAAATGCTTCCTTCAGCTCTTTAATGACTGGCAGAGGTCTTGGGCGATCCCCACGCTCATCACTGCAGTAAAGGTAGTGAGATATATATTAGATAATCTAAAGCTATATACGTATATAAGTCTCCTGTTTTGAACCCCTAAACTAAGAAACAAGATAGTGCTCATCAATGAACTACAAAACAAGAACCAATAATAGATAGGGGGCGGCCTCCAATATTAGGAGGGTGCACGTATACATATCAAAGATACAGATAGTACGAAGCATAGTAGTGAAACGCTAACCTTGTCCATGGAGCAGGACTGTTGTCACATCTAACAAACAAATATTGACAAATTTTGAATCCCTGTACACGAAAACATAATCGCTTTTAAGATACATTCTTTTGGTACAAAAACCATATCACCAAGCTTGAAATACAAATGTATAAGAAAACAAATACTTGTGCTCCGGTCCTTCGCCAGCACATCTCAATTCTGTAAATTCCATCATAACGTAGCCCTTTATCATCTGGGGCATAACATGAGCGTTTTGCCTTGTGTGACCTGTTTTATAAAACATGGTGAAAAATGGGAATTTATGGTTGAGCTTTTCTTAACCAAGCAAAATTTGGTCTAATCTATGTGTGTATTCATTCTTTTCTAAATACACGTGAAACTAGATAAAAGGACGTTGATTACCAAATAAAAGAGAATTTCAAACATCATTCACCTGACAACTCGAATGGGATAGCCTTCAATACAACTAACCCGGAGAGCCTGGTTCAATCCAGTGAACTTCTGATGAAAGGACTGCTTCTTGCTAGTCCCTTTGTTCCCTCGCAAATTACGGCCTCCACTGCTTTGTCAATTATCAAAACCAGTTGTAACTAAATATTTGAAATGAGAGCAAGAAAGAAGATTAATTTAAGCTAATACTTGCCAATCCGTTTGGTAATACCTTCCCGAGTAGAGGAACCAGTCCCCGTGATCGTCATCTTGGTACCCTCCAGAGAGCACCACCGACTGTGCACCAACTTTATTCTGACCTGCAATTCCACCAACAAGAGGAAAGTGGACACCCCATAGCCGGCATTCAAATCTATCTTCCCAGATTTCCCCAACCAGGATTCCTTGATTCCTCTGTGGATCATTCTCGGGCAGGATAGGACCAAAATGACCCTTAGGCACAGTAACAAATATCCTGCCACTAGCACCATTAGCCTTCCTGCGCCTCTTTGCCCGCTCTGTAGTATAACCCTTTTCCTGTTTATTGTTATCGTGAACAACACGGAAAGACCTTGCTGGCCCTCTGGAGGCAGTCGACCTTGATGATTTTGCCATTCTAATGACCGTTACCAGGGCAGAATTAATTGGGGGTTCCATTTTCATCTTCTTAGGAATCTCTTGGCGGCAATTTGCGCAACTTTGATTCCCTTTTGCACACCATCTCTGAAAACATTTGAGGCAAAAGTTGTGCCCGCATGGTGTCTGCAATAACAAAACAACGTCTATGACACCAAGAAAGAGCGAGAAAATGAAAGAAATTGAAAGAAGAGATGAAGAGAAAGATCACCGTGACAGGTCTATCGAACAACTGAAGACAGACGGAGCAGTTCAAGCTGTCGTCAAGAATCTCAAGCACATCCTGGTCATCGTCTAGGTCCACCACCTTCTGCTTCCCCTTTTTGTCAGCTTCCACCGGTTTCCCACTCAGAAGCTCCTGCCTCTTCCTTGCCTTGTCTTGCTCGGAGAGTGTTGCGTCACTCTCAATCTCTTTAATTGCTTCAACCAGGCCACCGGAGTGAACACCACCGACAACAGCCGGAAACATTTCGCCATCGTTATTTTCACCGGTACAGCCTGGGCAGTCCCATCGCAGCATGGAAGCTAGACTCTCCGGGGGACACGTGAGACAGGCGAGGTGCCAGGAGATGGCGCACGTGAAGCAGGTGAGTAACTCATCCTCTACAGGGGTGGCTTTGCAGCGCATGCACACGCCATCTTCGTCGCAGGGCAGCTGGTTGACATGCGTCATCGGAGTACAAGACAACCAAAAACAAGAGCAGAATGAATCAGAGATTGAATGAAATGGTGTTTTGGCGAGGTTGGAAGCAATGGCTCTGCAAGGCGTTGTGAAAAAGCTAGTTGTTTTGTTATTTGCCTTGTGATTGAGACCTAGGTTTCTCCCATTTAAGACTTAGGTTTTCTTCTCCCAAGCATATTAACACCTAGCCTAACAATTTCTTTTTGTTAAAAAAAAAAAAAAAAAAAACCTAGGTTTTGTCGGGAATATCTGGCGTTTGGATTCGGTGATTACACGTGGCAGAGTATTATGGAGTAGTTCTGGTTTTTAGGACAGGAAATTCTCAGGGAAAAGTGTAGTGCGAGAAGTAGCTGATCATTGCTGTGTAACTTTTCTTCCTACTAAACCAAATCTGGTTTTAGGAATTAGGACCCCACAATTCTCAGGAATTAGGACCCCACAATTCTCAGGATATTTTCGGGGAAAAGTGTAGTGCGAGAAGTAGCTGATCATTGCTGTGTAACTTTTCTTCCTACTAA